CCTCGCTGGTTTCGGTGTTGGTTTGGTTCAGAACAGGACTCAAATAAATTTATTCTAATAAAAACTATATTAGATCCATATCAGATTTGAAATCACTTTTATCCTAAAAAGAAGGCTTATTTTCATTAACCCTTATTGTTGAGTTTTTGAATAATTTAAATACGGTTCTGTTTCCTTGGGTGCATCTTCGCAGAGTTTGACCCCTTCTGGGAACGTAGCTCTTTGTTCAACGCCGCCCGGCTTATTTTATTTCTGCTCTCGGGTGACATTTCCAACTCAATTAAGCCGGGGTCTCTCGCATAACAGGTAAGCGAGGCCGAAGATGTTCCTCGTTTCGGTGTTTTCGGCGATACTTTTTCATCTTTTTTCGACATGCCAAAGTAGATGACCCTCTAAAGATTAAAAAAGAATCACGACGGTAAAGTCTTGTAACAAAAATTTGTCATACACTCCTTAAATCATAAAATCAAAAAAGAAAAAAATATTTTATTATTGTTTAACTTTCTCTTAATGGTTTGCTCTTCCAATAAATACAAGTGAACGCTGTTTAGTAACGGTCTTCAGTTACTCGCTTCGAAATGGTTCTTTAATTATAACTTTTTTTTATCGAAGTCATCGTTCCACCGAAAGTTACCTTTTCTAACACGTTACATAACTGACCATCACTCAGATGTGTATCTTTTGACATCCAATGCCGTTATGGTTAAATTATGACTATATAAAACCAGCTGGTATGCTGCGAGTTCAGGTGAATTTTCACGGTCATCCCGATAAATTCCTTTCAAAATGTATAATCTTGGCGATATACTGAGAATATTCCCGGAATGATTTAATATCCCGGATATGATTGATCGATGAATAGTGGACATTATAAAATATCGTTGGTATATCTAAATATTCTATGTTTTATTCATAACGGTTGGGAGAATCTTTAATATTCCAAACAGAATGGAATACTTATCAATACAAAGTTATCCAAGAATTTCATCTAAGAAAGTGGGATCACAAACTTTCGTCGTCCCTAAGAAAAAGGACTCCTAATTAACATCCGATTCCTCATCAATATTCCAACACTCTTAAAAAAACCCTCCCAACCAAAGAGATAACTATCTATTTTTAAAACTCTCACCTCAACCAGAAACGACGACACACAATCGAACCCGAGGACCTTCTCCTTCGGTTCTCTCATCACGCCAGTAAATTACGTTCGAGTCGTTAGCGTTAAGCCTTAAATGGTAGAAGAACCAACCTTGCCGTTGAATCTATTGGAGTGCGCGTCGAAGAAAAGGGTTTTTAGGGAGACTCGGTGTGCAGGGAGCGAGGGGATTATTTGGTCATGATAATGACTACACGAAATTAACAATGGGTCGGTCGAGTCATCAACTCTTTCATTTGACGGAATTCTTGGGCGGAACGCCAAGTCTACTAGAACTGAAACTTCGTCTCTCTTTATATCAGGGGCGGATTTGGGAAGATACTTTATCAATTCCATATTTAGAACACTGTTTAATAAAAATTATAGATTTATAAAACATAATCTATTTTATTTGATGTATTATACAAGTTTTAAATAAACAAGTCTAAAAGCTTAAAAAGGATACTCGAAAGCATCTCAAGATACTTATGGAAGATAAAAGAATTTTGAAGTTCTTTGAAACCATTTCAAACCAAGAATCAACAACGATTACTGCTTTTGAAACCAAGAATTCGCCCTATTCCATAGTAGAATATTTAGAAGAATAATGAGTAAAGAAATCAGCATTGGATTAATTCTGCACAATTATCACCAATAAGTAGTTAATGACTCACGGATGATACCTCGAATTGCGCAAACTGGTATGAAGCCCCCCAACTAATTGCCTACTTAATAAAGAAGTAGCCCAATCAACAATGCAAGCTGGAGGCTTCAACAATACAAGCATGAGTTTAATATTCTTGGCTTTATTGTTCACAGAATTGGTTAAATTTTTTCAGGAAGCGTTGCGATTATAAGACAACGCAAAATTAAACATAATCCTAGAGCCTCATTGGAATTTAGGCCAAATTTGTGTCATCACAATGAGGTTTCATGCAGAAGAGTGTGGTCAAAAGAAGTATCATTTAATTGCTCATACGATGGGATTGAGATAGTCGTGCTTTTATGCTGAAGTGATAGAAATGGAACGATCCTATTCGAAATGATAATCTTGTGTATGTCGGACTGAATTCTAGCAATATTTGAGGTTGATGGGAATATATTGAGACATTCTTGGATTGAGGATAAGGTTAGTTGCAGATATTTTCGTCCTGGAAACTTGAGATCTCTCTGGAAATGAGAGGTGGGAAGCTACGCTGTTGCGCTTTAACCATCAACCCATCGTGGTTGTCGTCGGCTTTACTTCTGCCCTTTCTATCTTTCCACTCTTCTAACTTCACCTGTACTTTTGCTCTACTCTTCTCTTGCTCACCAATCTTTTCTTCCAACAGACTTTTTAGTAATTCTAAATTTGTTACGTACCAGGGCAGTAACAAGTTTCAACTATGCAAGCATGAGCTTAATATTCCTGGCTATATTATTCACAGAATTGGTCAAGTTTTTTCAGGAAGCGTTGCGATTATAAGAAAACGCAAAATTAAAATAATCATAGAATCTCATTGGAACTTACACCAAATTTGTGTCATCACAATGAGGTTTCATGCAGAAGAGTGTGGCCAAAAGAAGTATCATTTAATTGCTAATAAGATGGGATTGAGATAGTCTTGCATTTAGGATGAAGCTAAACGTCGCGATGAAAATGGAACGATTCTATTAGAAATGATAATCTTGTAGTATGTCAGACTGAATTCCAACAATATTTGAGGTTGATAAAAATGTAGTGAGACATTCTTGGATTGAGGATAAGGTTGCTTGCAGATATTTTTGTCTTGGAAACTTGAGATCGTGGTTGTCGTCGGCTTTACTTCACCTGTACTTTTGCTCTAGTCTTCTCTTCCTCGTCAATCTTCTTAAAATCTTCCTTTCTTTTCATGCACATGGTTCACCCCAGCGATAACAAACATAAAATACCACAGAGTTTTTAGTAATTCTAAATGTTATGTATCAGAGCAATAACAGGTTTCAGCCCAACCCAACCTCTTTCTTTGGATTACGTATGAGACTGAATTGAGACATTTTTAGAATACTTGTAAGGTTGGGTTGATATATTATTGAATTGAAGATGACGTCAAGTTGATATTACCTTATAATTATGATAATATTACATTATGCAAAAAATCTGATATGACGAAGTCATTTTTGGTTTGCCTATAAGCTTGGATTACAAGATCCTTGGAAAAATTATCAAAGTATTTGCTGCATACCATCAACATCATATCTTCTGCCAAACTCATACTGAATTAGTTTTAAAAGTAATGAAAGAGCATTTTTTAAATTGATAACAACAACCAATTTTTCTGATTTGATAACACATTATTTGTAAATATGTATGAATGATTTTTCTGGGTAGTATTAGTCCAAAGTTATCGATCCGTCCCTGCTTTATGCTTATCGAGCTGCATAAGTTACAGAATTTTACTTGGTTGTACCAAGTTCGTTTGCGTTTATTCGATTCAAATGCCGGAGACTGTGGAGATGGTTGAAGAATACAAAGAGGTGTAGTACATGGTATGGAGATACAATGAGGGTATTGTTGTTAGATTTGATGATAATTTTAAAGAAAGTTATTTTGAAATGAAAAATGATGGAAGAATCAGCTTAATCCTACCTTTGAAAATATACAAACAAGTTTTGCAGGTAAAAGTTTAGGATTAGTATTCAAAAAAGAAAAATAAAAGTATCGACGGGGGGTGTCTTTGAAAAATAAAATAATCTTTAATATTCTTGGAAAAATGTCTAGAAAGTTCTAAACATTCTTTGTTATAATTTGTCTGGTTGTCGTCACATCAAGATATTGTTTGCTTATTTTTTTTTATTTTCATTACATTTTTATCTTTTATATAACGTGATTATAAGACGGGTTAAAAAGATAGTTAAATATGATTACGCAACTTAATTCTCGCCTTATACTAATCAGATAATGTTTTAGCACACAAAAAGCACCTCATTAAGCGCCAGAAGATGCCGCGGGCGAACCTCAATAATACCTCATCGGGAACAAGGCCACCGTTCTCTGTTGTTAGGTTCGAAGGAGCAGGTAGATTTTTTGGTACCCGGTTCCGTTTCCTCCGCGTGTCCAAATATTTTTCTTTTATTACATCGTTAATTTCATTTCGCACTAGGTAGCTTAAATTTTTTTCTTATTTAAGTTCCACAATTTCTGTTTTACGTTTAGAGATCAATTACCGGGTATTACGACGACAAGAACACATAAATTTTGCCGGTATACCATTCGCCAGATGTCTAAGTGGCGGGTTCTGGAATGTTGTGGTATCTACGTTTTCTGCGTTGCTCGCAATCGGGTGTTTTGTGCTTTTTTCTGCCACTTTAATTTTTTTTTGAAAGTAAGGAAACGTTCGAGAATTTATGGTATCTTGTAATAACAGTCATGAAGACCGGGGTTGTTACTTTTCCTAGTTTGAAACTAAATTTTAATTTTAGTTTGGTTGTGGATTGGTTTAAATGCCTGTATAAGCTAATCTTTATTATAAGTCTCGTTGAAACGTAGACCGTAGTTCATTCCTTCCCACATTCCCAGTCTTGGTGAGTACAGAAAACGTGGGAGGAGAGGAACGAAGATGGAAAACTTATTGCACTTTCCAAGTTTACCGATCAGCATCTATAATTATATTTGGAGATTTTTCGTGAACAATAACATGGAAGTGATGCAGCTATTCTTTTCGGGTACAAAACTCCTCGATGGAGATGCTTTTTTATTCTTACAACTCCGCATAGTCGAAACATTCGAAACAGAACCGTATCTTAACTAAAAAAAAAATAATTTAAAATTAATTTTAATTAATATCCCATAAATTAATCTGATTTATATTGAAGTATGAATGATTCAAATTTTTTTTTGTTGTAGATTCAAGAATTTTGTTGATACGGACCTGGAATTAAGAGAATTGCCTCAGCGGCACCAGCAAAGTTAAGTACGAGTTCAGTCTTCGTTCGGTCGAAGTAGCGAACGGATCGCTTTTCAAATCGTTTCGAAACCGGCTCCGCGATCCATCAAGTCAAAGCACGCACGTTTTCGAACCAGTTTTACTTACAATGCCGCTACTGCTTCTTCTTCATCAGTGAGAAGAAGAACCACGAGTTTTAAACCTCTCCTTGATCCTTCAGGGAGATCTGTCATTCAAGTAAAGTGACGATTTCTTCGTGGTTACAGCCAATTTGGGGATAACGTTTCAAGAAAACTAACATTTTTTGAGAAGAAATTCCTGAAAACACTTTTAAGCATCACCAAGGGTAAGAATAATACTTGTGGAAATTGAATATGAAAATTGAAACGTTAACTAAGTTATGGAGAGTTGAGTAATTCGTCTTGGGTTAAAATATACGGCAGGATGTAATTGTCAAACCCCTCTTGCGATTTGTTTCCCTGCTCTTTGAAATTCGACACCGTGTGTGTAACTTAACGAGTTTGAATTCTTGGTTTTATTTTTGAGAGGAGGGTGTCTTTTCGACGGTTTTAACATCACTCCAAACTATTTAAAGTTTCGAATACAAATCGTTATCGAATGTTGTAATTGAATTATTTAATAGTGATTAATAATCGAGCCATGTTCAACTGATAAAGTGCATCTTAATTGCATTGTTAACCCATATTTGTTAAATTCTTGTCCTGGCGATTCATTCAAGTGTTGATTCGTTGCTTATTTGTTATATCAATAAAACTACGTGACTCCCTGTTATGTCTAGATATTTAAATTCAGATAACCAAATGGTTTTTGTCCAGCTGGACGATAATAATTAGACACGTTAGATAACAAAATTATTTTCTGGCTAACTCCTTATTTAATATCTCTACGGCGCAAACAAAATTTTCCTTTTGTTTATTTTTAGATCACCCGGTTGTTGAATCTTTCAATTAAAGCAAATTATTAGTTTTTCCTTCTCAAAATATTTTAAATACACATTTATTGATATCTTGTTGCAATATTTACTTAGTTACCTCAAGAGTTATTTCAGTGTCAATGTCAAAATATATAGGGAAAAGAGGATGGGTTGGTTACGCCTTTTTACAGCTTACCATCGGATATGGTTACTCAGTGTTAACAAATTTTTTCCTTAGCATGTTTGTATTTAAAATTTGCGTTAAATAAGTTGAAAAAAAATTATGAATGAATGTGAACAATCTGGTCAATTTAAGAAAAGTAAGCCGTATTGTGTCGTTTTTTTTTCTCTCAACCATCTCAAGTTCCTTCGGCTCGGGACAAAGCGTTCAAATCGTTTGGAATTGTCGAACGGAGCCCGCCACAAGAAGTCGTTACCACCTATGTTTTCCTCGAATGGGCTTCTCGAAAGTCGTTCGTTCACGTGGGCTCTTGGAACTGTGTTCTTGGAAAGATCTCGCGGACCGACAAATTACACTTAAAATGTAACGAGTTTTAATCTTCTTTTTAATTCTAAAAACTTATCTCATTATCGTCATTTTTTAACATTTTAATTATTACTTTAAGTGTCCTCATAAAGAACGATTCGTAAATAACAACACATCAAAACGAATTGGCCGGTTATTTATGACCGGCACCAGTTGGCAAACTATTCCTTACAATAAACGCCTACAAAGTTAGCTAACAATTCTTAGAATCGGTTATGGGTTAGCATAAATAACTTCCGAGACAAAAGCAATATTGGTTTTGATATTCATGTTTAAGATTTAGTAACAAGTGTTCCTCACATTCTAAGAACCGAATCATAAATGATCAAAAAAATTCAACTTAAAAAAAAATGATAAAAAAATCAAAAACTAACCCCAACAACATCCATACAAAAAACTCCCACCTTATATTTCACGCTGCAGCAACCCAGACTCGGAACCATTATTCATCACCTTACCTTCTGACGGATCCCCTCCTGACGTACAACACAGCATAAGAAAGCCAAACAAGCGGCGAACTATTCAAATTTATAATTGAGGCGCGCGTAAGACAGAGAAAAAACGAAAAGACCTCGAAAGTGTGGAAAAGAGAAGGGAATCGGGTTCGAGGGCCATTCAACTTCCAGCGGCTGTAAAAATGGCCCGGAGGAGACATGTAAAGACGCGACGATGACGAGGGAAAGAAGAAGCGACGAAGAACGAAACCAAAAAAAAGTATGGAAGAGGAGAAAAATCGTAGAAGAAAAAGAAGAAACCAAAAAAGGAGAAGAAGTGGAAAGGACCAAAAAGAATAACGGAGGCAATTCGAGCCTCTCTATTTATTGCTTATGTCCCCATTATCGCCCTCCAGTTCCACCTGCCTTTAACGTTTTAAAAGGAATGGGATAAAAAGGAATAAGGTGGCAGACAAAAAAGAAATAAAAATACATAGGGGTGTTTTTATTGCATTTTTTGACGTGTTGTTTTTTTTGTGTGTGAGAATAGACAAATATTTATTAGTGACTTTACTTCATGAATTAGGTGAACTGCAAAACTATCTAACCAAAACTTTTTCAGTATGTATGTATCCATTGTTAAAATAGTCGTATCATACATCAAATCTTGTGTTCGCAATTACTTAGTTTTCATGTACATTTTAAAACTGCACCTACTCCTGCAAGAAACCAGCATCGCATCAATCATGGCTATCATGCTAAGGGGACCTGAAAATTGATTATCAAGTTATTGAAGAGTTTGCATATACAGCTGTTGGATCATTTTATTTTCTAACTTTCTGATCGAGTATGTAATCAAAATGTAAATAAGCAAAAAAGAATACAAATCCTTCTAGTACCACAAGAAATCCTTATACTTAGCCCTTTCCTTATGAATTTTTACGTTTCGGGTGACTTCTTAAAATGATTCTTTCGATAGTAACTTTGTGGCTTTCTTTGATTCACACCGATCTGCGTTAGTGGCTTCACTAAAATCTACTTCGTGCTATCCTCAAAATTTGGGATTAGTTGGACCAAACGCCAAAACGAAATTTAGTTCTCAATTCTTTAGGTAAACCAAAACTATGGAACAGCTTGATCATTATACTTTCAGAAATAGAGAAGCTTAAACGTCGTGACACCAATCAAACACTCCAATGAATAAACCAGTTATAAGGTGATTAAATGTGTTTGGAAAAATAGTTGAGTGGGAGTATGTTACATATTAGAAACTAAGACGTACAGGGTCCATGGTTCAATCCACTAAACGCCTTTGAAAAGGTTGTGTAGATAACGACAACCTGCAAACCGAATTGCTGCAATTGCAACCTAATAATATTCTTTTTGTCTTGTTGTTTCCAACTGGTAGCTGTGCGCTGTACTATTTTAGAGCTAGAAAAGATAATATAGGGAAAGCGTGAAGTATCACGTTTCCAGTTTTGTAACGCCAGAAAAGTTTGGAACTTTACAGAGTATTTGCGCGTAGACCATAATCAAACTTTTGTACATTCTGTACAACCTCCGGTTAAATCAAGTTGCCACAGATGAAGATACACCTCAAACGTATGTTACTGATACAATCTATTATAGGGTAATCACATTAATGTGAGTATCCGTTTTGTCGTCTTGAGCATAAAAGGTAATCGACAAGTTTTAAATTATAGAAGTGTTTGTTTAACAATGTGCAGGAAGACGTTTTTACCAAGTTTTAGAATATATTGGACCATCTCAACATACGGATAACGTGCTTTGGATGCTTCTTTAATAACTTTGGTAGGGAGCTTATTAACGTGCTTGCTGACGCAACAGCTTAAATGTCATTTAATCCACCTGTGTCAAATCACAAGTGTCAAATGAGACTCCAGTACTAATCCAGAGATATTCGTCTTTTTACTAAGAGCTATAAATACATTTTCTGTTACCAGTGTTGATTGCACAAGTCTTAGATATTATAATAAAATGTACAGTACGTTTTAGGACAACTAATTCCGCCTGTTTGACAGTCATATTTTACTCAAATGCTCCCATAGGTGAAGTTGAAGGTAATATGAGAAAGTCTAGATTCAGAACCATCCTGTTTTCTTGAACCATCACTGTAGATTTTTATATTATTCTTTACACCTTCTACTGGGGTGTATCATTCACCGCTATTTTGTGAATGTGAATGTTGTTCAGCTTTCTTCAGCAGAACTTAAACTAGTCATCATCATTATCTGCCGCATTTGTAAATCAAAGGGTTATCTTGAATCTTATAGTTCTATAATTCTTATAGATTGTTATAAAGTTACATTATTGAGGTGGTTAATGAGGTTGTAAAAATTTTGACTTATTATTATGGATATTTGAGTTTGGTTTCTGATAAGAGTTACGAACCGAATTTTGGAGATGAAAATATGAAGTAGTGTGCTATATAGGGAAATGATGAGCAATAAGGCTATAAAATCGGCAAAATTAACCGTAATTTTGACTCTCTTTGAAAGTCAGGCTTCATAACAGTCCAATTTCATCAATATTGTACATCTTAGATTGTAATAACATGGTGCAAAATCGTGTAAATTTGTATTTTCAGACCCATCCAACACTTACTTTGAATGAAACATTCATTTGCTATTGTAATTCCAGCAAATTTAAGTTTAACTGCCAGAACCGCAACACCACAAGACCATTGTTATGCAAGTTATGCATCATTCAATTCTCCAAATGTGTCTTTGTCCAAAACAATTCGCCTCCAGACTCCCAAGTGTTTTATCATTTCAAGTTGAAAATTAATTTAAACAATGTTATAATTAACTTTAACAATGTTTTACTTTATACTTTGAACTGTTTGAAAGATGTAATAAATTTAATGGATTTATTGGGTGGGTTAAATAAAACAGTAGTAAATGCTAATTCTACAATACTGAAGTAAATTCTTCAAGTAAATTCTATGATTGTGAAGCAGGTTCTACTAATTTCAGTAAATACTTCGATATTCAGATTCATATTTACAAAGTAGCATGTACTACTTTATTTCAACGATTGCTTCTCTTTTAGCGAAGCTTATGAAAGGCCAGCTTCATTAATCTTGCTATGATGCTACAGTATTAAACATGGCGAAAGTTTCTCAAAAAGTTGGATAGCGGATTTGTTTAGGACTAGATATTCAAGATCGCTAGCGGATAAATAGTAAAATTCTTAGCTATCACTATAAAATTTCAAATAGCTTTGAGAAGCGATGTGGAACTGCTATCACCACCATGAAAACCAAATTGTATCGAATACAGCTGATAATTTCTCGACAAAACGGCTTCACAATGATGAGAAAATCAAGAATATCATTGAGATCTTTATCATTGAATAATGAGATAACTACAGCTGTCGTCCTCACAACAAAAATATGGTATATCTAACAGTACTCAAAAGCTATAATTGATAGAGCACCATGACACCTGATACCTCGTGACTCTTCACCTATAGAAAACAAATGAGTAAGCGTTGGTGAGACCTGAACCAACGTGAACTAACACGTTGTTGCACTTTTAAAGTGCGTACTACTTTTTAAAAGTATTTACTTCCTACTAGTAGTATTTACTTTACCGGATGTAAAGGCATACTACATCCAAAAGTATTTGCTATGCAGTAAATTCTTTTTCCTCAAGCATTACCATGTACTACTTTTTTATTCAACCCACATCAACTTCGAGGAAACTAATTATTAAAGTAATACCGTCCGATATCGAGGTTTTACAATCTTTTACTTATACTATTTTGTTTCTGGCAACCTCAATTAACATTATTTGATATCTTGAATGATGCATCCATTGTATGATGACCGAGAGCTTTGATTTAAAAAGAACAGTTTTTATGGATAAAGTAAAGATGACCGAGAACCATATAAATAAAGCGAGCCAAGATTGTTATCACGTGATTATCTTCAAGATTATTATGGCATCGAGCTAAATGTTATATTAGAGACTCTCATAGAACAACATTTTAGAGTCTTTAGAACACATGGCGAAATTAAAATACAATTTAGTGATAAATCACTCTTTGAATTTTGTGCTGTGGCGAATCGGATAATGATCTATTTCCAACATTAATCCTTTCCTCGAAAATGTTGTCAACCATATATTAATTATTATTTGTAAACATGATTTTAACGAATAAAGTCTTTATGGTTGTTTTTTTTTAAATAAAAATTGGTTCGTAATCAATCTAAGAAACCTTATAAAAAGAGAAGCCAAATTAATTAACAAAAAATCCTAGTTCCTGTACGTTTAAAGTTGAAACTCGTAAAGTATAGAAAACACCGCCACCGATATCACTTGGTTTCATCGGATTGTCGTTTCCTGCTTACTGGAAGAAGCGAGGGTGTGACTTGTCCCATTGATTGGTATCTACTGCCAGTTAACGAATAAAACAATGGGTAACCCGATGCAATAACCCTCGTGCCCTTCTTCTTTTCAACTCTTTCGAGCTTATCCGCCTTTGCGTTTCTCTTGTGTGGTCCTGCCACCCCCATATAAAAACTGCTAGCATGGTTTTAATCGCAGTTCGTTTCTTTACAGGGATGAGTCAACATGAAGCTCTTCGGAGATGGTCTATTAGAAATTATTCTACTGACCATTGTATTTACAAAAGGTATGTTTAAAAAAATCTTTATTACCATTACCGATTATAATTTTTTTTTTTAAGTTCGGAGTCAAGTTGTTACAATTCAAAGCCCTGCTTCAGTTGTATTACCAGACTTAGATGAAACAGTATTAGAATGTCGCATGAATATCGCACCAGATAGATTTCAATGGTTACATTATCCTGTAACGGAATCGTTAACTTATACCTCGAAGTATAATTTACCATTATCCGAAGCTAGGCATATTGAAATACCTCCGCAAAATTATAGGACTGATAACGCTTCAACTTATTATAAAGTAGAGGTAAATGAAATTCTTTTCAATTTATCACTTCTAAATTAAACTAAACTTAAAATAATTTAAATTTCTTACAGAATACTAATAACTCCGTAGCTGGTGATTATCAATGTTTAGCTCATTACGGAGCTGTCGTTTTTGCATCAAAACCTGGAAGAATATCAATTTCAACGTTAAAACCGATCCCCTTTATGGAGTCTCTTAAAATATCCGTAGTCGCGGGAAGTACCGTGGTGTGGAGATGTCCAGAACCGGAATCAAACCCTGTAGCAACTATGGAATATTACAAAGGGAGATACAACGAAGTTATGATTTATCCAAAATATCCTTCCGCATCATCTTTAATTTTTGAAAACGTCAACGAGAATAATACCGGCGTATACACATGTAAAGCTTATAATACAATAACCAGAGTTGCTTCAAATATTTATTTAAACTTAACTGTTGTGTCTAAGGCCACAATATATAGAACAAAACCTGAATTTATAGTTGAACCTAAGAAAAAATATATCGTTCTTCAAGGTAAGTGAAAAAAATATTTTATTATAAATACTAGAATAGTCATAATTGAATTGTCTTAATTTGAAATGTGTCATAACAAATTCCCAAATAAAATTCTTTTAAATAAAACACATTAAATTACACCAAAAACATGCCTTATGAATTAACAAGGGATCATCAAAGATCGTTCCAAGAATCTCAAATTGGATTACATTCTGTTCCACGACCCCATGAAGAATTAGAAAATAGTATAACAACACGAATGTTAGCATCAAGAATGCGTGAACGTGACAATAAAGAGCTCTCAAATACAAGATTATTGCGTTCGGGGTCTTCGTTAACGTCTGGTTCACGATCGGCGAGTTCTCGGTTTTTAACTGGTTCTGTTCTTCCTAATTCAGTGGTAAGATCGGAAAGTAATCAATCGCAAGTACAAATTGTTGACGTTAAAAAGGATGCTCGTGATATACGTGACGAATTCGTACAAGAGTTAATAACGAAAGTGAAACCGCGAATGTACAATCAATTGTATAAAGACAACGAAAATAATTTTATGGAAACTCGAGAAGTAAGCGTAGGAACAAGTCCGCCAGATTTAAGTTTGTGTTATTTTGATATGACTTCCGAAGAGGATGATGAAGAAACGAAAAAATTAAAAGAAATTGAAAGAATTGAAAGGAGAACGTCTTCTTTACTACCGATTAATTACAATACTCGACCAACTTTAGAATCTATTCGACAAGCGATTGAAAATACTCCCACGATTAGCGATATTATTGATATCGATACAATTGACAGCATGAAAAAATCGAGTAAAGAAAAACTTAATTTAATAGAAAAGAAAGAAAATACTAAAGATTTAAAAAAAGATTCAGCACAATCATCAATGTTAACAGTGTTTTCGAACAAACAACCCTCTCTGGCTTCAACAGGGTCTAAAACAAATAAAAGTTTTAAAAAAATCGTTAAAAAATCTGCAAGTAAATTGATCCCTTATAAACAAGACACCAGAACTTCCATTTTGAGAGATGCGTCGAAACCATCGAATAAACCACGTCGAAGTGTTTCTATTCTTGAAGCGAAACAAAAACAACATTCTCATACACAAACTTATATAAGAATGATTAATATTAACCAAAAATAAAGAATAAATTTATGTATTAACTAATTTTTATCATATGCTCAAATATTTGTAGGTTTTTAGCCGTTCTTTTTAGTCGTGAATAACAACTAAAACTAACACTAAAACTAGAAACATTTTATCCGTGCGTCTCTTAAGATGGCTAAACCCGAATGTTTCTAGTTCTGTCTTCCTAGAGGCCAAAACATCCAGGAAAGGTTACTATCTAGCAGCTTAGTTTCTTGTACTGTTTAGCTGCTATGTAATTAGTTCGAACACTAGGCTTAGAATTAAAACTAGCAACATTCGGGTTTAGCCATCTTGAGAGACTAGCCTGGAACTAACACTAGCACTAAAACTAACACTAGATCTATAACTAGAAATATTCGGAAATACTTTAATTAATAATTGGTGATATTTCCACAAGGATCCTTCAAGAAATTAATTGTATAGCGAATTTTGAAAATTATCTATGAAAATTGCTACATCGAAAACTTTATCAAAACTTCAAATATTGTTTTCTCAAAAACTAAAAATTATTTTTCCAAACGTGTTGGTTCATTGGAAAGAGGACACTCTTATTAACACTTTGGGAAATTTTCATACTCGTATTCCAAGAAGTGTATTTTATATGAATTTTTAAAACTTAATCGGCGAAAATTGAAAAATTTGAAAAAATTGTCGATCATTTCTAAAACATATTTCTCAAGAACTGAAAGTGATTTTTCAAAACGGCTTGTTGCATTAAAAAGAGGATACTTTTATTCATAATTGGTGATATTTCCACAAGGATCCTTCAAGAAATTAATTGTATAGCGAATTTTGAAAATTATCGATGAAAATTGCTACATCGAAAATTTTATCAAAACTTCAAATATTGTTTTCTCAAAAACTAAAAGTTATTTTTCAAAACGGGTTGGTTTACTGGAAATAGGACACTTTTATTAACACTTTGGGATATTTTCATACTCGTATTCCAAGAAGTGGATTTTATACGAATTTTTAAAACTTAATCGACGAAAATTGCAAAACTCGAAAAAATTGTCGATAATTTCAAAAAATTATTTCTCGAGAACTAAAAGTGATTTTTCAAAACGGCTTTTTGCATTAAAAAGATTTAATTAATAATTGGTGATATTTCCACAAGGATCCTTCAAGAAATTAATTTTATAACGAATTTTGAAAGTTATCGATGAAAATTGCAACTTCGAAAATTTTATCAAAACTTCAAATATTGTTTTCTCAAAAACTAAAAGCTATTTTTCAAAACGTGTTGGTTCATTGGAAAGAGGACACTCTTATTAACACTTTGGGAGATTTTCATACTCATATTCCAAGAAATGGATTTTATACGAATTTTTAAAACTTAATCGGATAAAATTGAAAAATTCGAAAAAATTGTCGATCATTTCAAAAACATATTTCTCAAGAACTGAAAGTGATTTTTCAAAACGGCTTGTTGCATTAAAAAGAGGATACTTTAATTCATAATTGGTGATATTTCCACAAATATGCTTCAAGAAATTAATTGTATAGCGAATTTTGAAAATTATGGATGAAAATTGCAACATTGAAAATTTTATCAAAACTTCAAATATTGTTTTCTCAAAAACTAAAAGTTATTTTTCAAAACGTGTTGATTCATTGGAAAGAGTACACTTTTATTAACACTTCAGAACATTTTCATACTCATATTCCAAGAAATGGATTTTATACGAATTTTTAAAACTTAATCGGCGAATATTGCAAAGTTCGAAAAAATTGTCGATCATTTCAAAAACTTATTTCTCAAGAACTGAAAGTGATTTATGATGAACAGTATCGCTAGAACTAACACGAAATCTAGAACTAGAAACATTCGGATGGGGTTGGGTTGGGCATAATCTGGAAACATGATTTAAACTTTAAAGATTCCAATAATCGTGTTTTTTTTTTTGTTTGCAATGAAATAAACTGAAATACAACTTTTCTTTTGAGAATATCCCTAGATAGCTCTTGACACTTTTCATGCATTATCATATAATTTATTTTAACAAAAAATATTTGGTATAAAATCATTGCTCTTATCTAGCGAGATCAATCAAAACATACAGGGTGATTCAAATTCGACCCCCACCATTGGGATCTCAGAAACCATAAGAGATACAGAAATGGTTAATAGGGGGCAAAGTTGCGTATCTTAGAGCTCATCAGTTTTTAACTAAGTTATTGGATCTAGCCGTTTTAGTTATTAAAATATGGCCGAAAAACAAAAAAAATGACTTTCGTTTTTTGCCTATAACTTCTTTATTTTTCGTTTTTCGTGAATCTGAAAAAACACTCACAAGGTAACTTTTTATGAATAATGTCATGACATAATTAGAAATTTTCTCCAACGTTTCGTTTTCGTGAAACTATCATCAGGTTTTTTTCTTCATCATTTTTTCTTATGAACGCCAATGTTTTTTTCGTTTTACAAAAACGAAACATCAGAGAAAATTTCTAGTTGTGTTATGACATTTTTAATAACTAGTTGCCTTAAGAATGTTTTTCCAGATTCACGAAAAAACGAAAAGTAAAGAAGTTATAGGCAAAACACGAAAAAGTCATTTTTTTTTTTGGTTTTTCGGCCATATTTTAAAAACTAAAGCGATTAGATCTAAAAACTTAGTTGAAAAATGATGAGCTCTAAGATACGCAACTTTGCCCCCGTTTAACCATTTCTGTATCTCTTATGGTTTCTGAGATCCCAATGGTGGAGGTCGAATTAGAATTACCCTGTATAAAACCAAAATTGATAAAACTTACAAATTATGTATTACAACATTTTTTTTATCAATTTATTAATATTATTGAATATTTCATTTTAGGTACTTCAGCATATTTAGAATGTGGTGCTATCGGTTATCCAATCCCAACAGTAAAATGGTCAAAACTTCACTCTGAATTACCCAGTAACATAGAGATCAATAAAAGTGGTATCCATATTAAAAATATGATGCAATACCACGAAGGAATCTACGTGTGTGTGCATGAAAATTCCGAAGGAAAACTTGAATTTCAAATCGAAGTTGAATATCATGAACCACCAACTGTTCGAGGACTATTTAAAAAAGAAGTAAGATCAAACAAAATAGAAGAGGGACAAGATTTGGATATCGAATGTGACGTAACCGGCGTTCCCAAACCGAGTATAAGCTGGTTTATGAACGGAAATAATATAAAAAATGATCCGAATTTATCTGTTCATGGAAATACAATTCGTTTCCGACCTTTACATAAAAGACACGCCGGTATGATACAATGTTTCGCGAGTAATATTGTTTCAACGAATTATGAAACGACTACAATTGAAGTTTTTCCAAAACAAATCTATGGTAGTCAAAATCAAGAGTATTCTTCGACACCTTCGAATCATAAACGTGGAGGCAAAGGGAAACATATAAAACGTAAAAATAAACCGAACATGATGATACCGCCTTCAAAACCGACTGTAACCCGTTTAAATGACGAATCTGTCGTTGTAAGATGGATTTCGAATCAAGATAGTGGGTTAGAAGTTAAATTTTTTAAAGTCCAATATCGGGATGTTTCGCAACCTGGAGCTGTATGGGTTACAACAAATGCTGATATTGACCCATATATTCGCTCCTTTGACGTTATGGGACTCCAACCAGATCATAATTATCGATTTAGAGTTGCCGCCGTTTATAGTAACGATGATAATAAATTGTCTGATAAATCAGAAACATTCCATTTGCGTCGATTAGATTTTTTCGATAGAAACTATTTACCTATACCTACAATCACGAGAACAGAGACCATTAACTCGACGAGTATTCAAGTTTTTTGGGATGTAAGTTAATTCCTTTAATTTTAAATTTATTTGAACAACATAATTTTTTTCAGTATACTCCTAATCCTAATATATCAATTAACGGTTTTTACGTTAATTACATCTCAGCAAGTAGTGCTGGTGATTACAATAAAGCAACTGTAGACGGTGATAGCGCTAGAACGTGTATAATTTCGCATTTAGAACCTGGAACTATTTACGAGTTTAAGATGCAAACGTTTACGTCAAAATCAGCGAGCGATTTTAGTCAAAGGATGCGAGGAAAAACAACTCGTAAGTTAATTTTATACTTATAAAGTAATAATTAAGAGATAATTTTGATATTTTTTTAGCGATTGTCGTTGAAACTACAACGATTCTCCCCGTTAAGAAACGAGAAAGCGACGATGGTTCGAATCTTTACATTATTTTAGCTGTTTCAATAGTCGCTTTAATTTGTTTATTCACCGTCATTGCTTTGTTGATTGTTTGTTGTAAATGGAAGAAGAAAAAAGATCAAAATCCTGATGGTAAGATAAACATATTTTTTTACTTGTTGGTTTTCAACAACAAGTTTGTTTTATTGTTATTTATTGAGATCAATGGCTTGAAAGATATTTGAGGAACAAAGTGGAAATCAATTTTCACATTGTATGTTAATCACTCTTTGTTTATAAGTTCTAAGTTCAAGTAAAGTGAATTTGATAAAGTGATGATTCTTTATAACATTCGTTTCTGGATTCTAATAACAATTTTATCTCAGGAAGGATAGCACCTTCCTGAAAATCGTTCCATTCTCCAAGGGATTATGTTTGTGGATTTCTTTATTTATAATTATTACTATGAATTTGTTTGAGTTTCTAACTGGTTTCAAAGTTAAAAAGTATCTAAATTTAATTAAATCTAAAAAGTTTTAGAAACTTTAAGAAATGTCTAGAAATCTAGGCGCCTGATCTAAATGTCCTGCTTCTGAAGAAGTTACAGTTTTTGAAGATAACGTGATGTTGATAATGATTTCTGGTTTATTTCGGAATCTGGCTAATTCAGTTGATGCAGCTTATAGCTGAGTTTGAAGACAGGACTTTATAAAGATTACAAATTAACTGGTTATGATCAGGCTATTAACCTATTAGTTAACTCACTCATCAGAACACTCACAGTATTCTGAAGTATGCAGAGGATGCTAGTGTATTTGGTTCATAACTTTTAATAGAGTTTTTCAAGATCCATGGAACATTTTACATTTCTAAGATCTTTCATGGATCTTAATTTATCTGCTTTATAATACCGTTATATCTTATCATTGTCGTTGCAACTTTCTTGATTTTTCATATCTTTGGGGTTGTACCAAATATAAATTAGAATACATCAACTTGTCATATGTTCTAATGAAAAAATGCCATGATATGAATACAATTTTATGGCTACACTAAATTGGAGAAAGTATTATTTGAATAATATAAAGAATTCTTTAGGTGGACCCATTTTCTTGATTTGGTACAATAGGTTTCCATCAATTTGGTCAAATAGTCAATTGGTAATCTTTGACTATGTATTATATATCGTATTGTTTCATCAGATTCATGTGTCACTTGAAGCACAAAACTTATTTTTGCTAATTTTCTGTCATTTGCAGTTAAAGTTCAATATCTGTATCACATCAGAGTAAAGAACATATTTATAACTTAATCATTGAAAGGGCACAGCATAAAGGTCAACGTGAAAGATGAATTTCAATGGATGTGTTTGTATAAGAGTGAATAGTTGCTTTGTCATTAAAAGTGGCTACATGTGTTAACAAAACTGTCCAAGGAATCCAAAGTGTTATTACGTTGATGGAAAATACAGCTTTTGTGCCTTTTGTGCTTAAACCGTCGTTTGTATTGAATACCTTGTCGATATTCAAGTTTTTTTGATCGTGAAAGATCCTAACATTTTTACAATAATCAGTCATATGGTTCAGATTACTTTCATAGAACACGTTTTTCAAATACGATGAGTCATTTTATCATCAATTTATATAGCAGCTGTGTAGAAGAATATGTCTGTTAACCATTTTGTCTATGGCGATGAAAATATCGTATATTGGTTACTCATGTTCAAGCCTGTGACTTTATTCTTGGAAGATATCTGAAATCGAAAGTTTTTTGTCTTGAAGTACCACACATGATTCAAACTTTGAAAAATCTTACGTGCATAAAGGTTGATGGAATTCCTGTAGAGATTAAGGTAATGTAAAGTTTCAAAGTACAAAAAGGAGGCCAAGCTAATCCTCCATCGCGTCCTATCCAATAATGAGGAAACGTTGTATTTAAGTACTGATGCACTGCTGCAGTTAATGGGTTGATACCATTCGTGTTGATACCATAATTGGTGAGGAAGGTTTAAAGCATTTTTGTTTGTAGTAACAGTAAATACTTCTCATTGTTTAAATATCTATCAAGAGAAATGGTCTTAATTTGAAAGCTAGTGATTCCTGCCCATATATTCATTTTTTGGGGGTATTGTGTTCTGGTTTCATTAAAGAAATGCTTTGTCAATTTACTTCACCAGTAACGGAAAATGTTGCTTCATCCGTAAATATAACATGATTCAAAAAATCAGAGTTATTGACACAGTAAAGCTTCGCTAATCCGAATCAATTAAAACCAGCTCAATTCAGATTATGGAAGCATGCATAAATATTGAATTTATATTTAAATATTAACAAAAAATATCTTATAAGTACTTATTTATAGATTTATTGTACTAGATAATGTATGCAATGAGGTGTATTGCATCCGCTCATTAAATACGTGTACTGAACCTTTTAATAGCTTCCTCATGTTTCATTTTTAATTCGTTTTCGTTTGTCCCAGCGTCATGAAGAAAACTGACATCGCTGCCCTCACTATCCAGTGGAACATGATTTTTATCACCAACAATCCAATCGTTAATTTCTGATTGTGAAGGATGATCATCATTGTTTATTTGCTGGAGCATTACACCGATTTCTTTTAGTTCTTGTTCACCTTGCTCTGTTTTCTGAACCGACATCCATTTATTTTTTTAGAATTGACAATGGAATGTCGTCATCAAGGTCCTCTTCCTCATCTGATTGTCCAAATACATTTCTCCAGCTGTTTGTTATTAAATTAGCATCCTTAACAGAAATTTTCTTCAGTGCTTTGGAAATATCGTCTTCTTCTATAAGTAGAACATGTTCTAAGAGACTTTTCCGATAATACACTTTGATTAAGCGAATTACATTTTGATCCATAGTTTGGATAAGTGGAGTACAATTGAGTGGCAGAAACATTGTTATTGTTAATCGACTTGGCGCATTGTCGATTAACAAAATTGCTTTACCACTCAGATTGTTTTCTGCTTCAAATTTTCCTATTTAACAAAAGCCTCGTGAAACCATTTCACAAAAAGAGATTTTTTGTCGAGAAATATTCAACTGGAAGGCAGACACAGTTTTTAAAAACTCTCGGATTTTTTGATTTTCCGATAATCAACATTTTAAGTTTATGTGTGCCATCTTGTACAAGCAAGAAAAGTTACTCTTTCCTTTGATGTTTTTCTCTCTGGAGCAGTTAGTTAGCGAATCTTTTACGATTTCGGATTACAAGAGACATAATACAAATTTTACGTTTTCTAATTTTGTTTAAATTGGGGGTGTTGATGATTTTCAAATTTGAAGCAGTGATACTTTTCATATTTCAAGAACCTTAATTCACTGGATTTACTTATCCTTAATAGTCTTACCTACTGCCTTTTAGAAAGTCGATTGTTAATTTCGATATATTCAGTTAATTGCTTTCTAAGTGCATCATATAGCATCACTTGTAATTTGCTCACAGGAATTGTCATCACTTCAATAAGTCGATATTGCGTAGCTTGCACACTGCAATTTCTGGAAATATATTGGGCTGAGTTGTTACAGACGTAATCCCGTTTTGACTTTCACCTTTGCATCTTTCAGTGGTTTAGAGCAATATGATCCTGATATAATCCTGTACAAATTCGTTCATAACAAAGGCAAAATTTTCAAAAAGTTTTTGAATTCTCATATTTTATTATAATAAAAATAATTTTTTTCAAATAACTTATTTGCATTTCTCACCTTACTTTTTATAATTATTAGGGAGTGTTAAACAGCCAACAGATGATTTAAATCATCACATAGAAACGCATAAAACGTCGAGAACGAATGGTTTTGTAACTTCAGGTAACCACATCACAATTCGTTCGAATCCTTTAGCAGAAACCGACAACAAGGTGAGGTACATATTCCATTTTTTTTAATTATTTCTTATAATTTACCTCTAATATTAATAATTTCGTAATGGTACAAGGTTTGCTTAACGATTTTTTATGTAAAAAGCTTTTTTTAACAAGTTTACTAACGCGCAGTTCGTTTTCGTTACTAAAACCGGGGTAATTTCGTCTTGTTTTCCAGAAAACTCTAGCTAGGATTTTTTCCAGACTCAGAACATGATCGAAATGTCCTGTTTGGCGGCCCAAAATAACAACTGTTCCGGCGGTGGTCAAACTTCCACGGGAGGAGGAGGAGGAGCAGGAAACGCGCGGGAAATTCATAACAACGTAGGCAAAAAGAGGCATAAAAACCCCGGTGAAAATTATGTTTAAAAAGGATTTATTATGAAATACTAAGAAAATTAGTTAAAAAAGAATGTGATTAGTGAAAAATAACCTGTGAATCGAATACGTATACTGTTAGAACTTTTTTAAGTTTTTATTTTATCGATTTTAATCTTGCCCCATCTTTTGTAAATAGATTAAATTTCTTTATTTTTAAGATTTTTATTGTGTATATAGATTTTTTTTAAAGAATATTTATCCAATTTTCACCCCCACTTTATTTATTGTTGTTTATGATAGTTTAATTTTAATTAATCATTTAGAAATTCATAGTATTAATTTTATAATGGTATATCTTCGATATACGTTAAAATTAAAACAAAATATTTATTTCGTACATAATTCGTGATTAAATTTAAACGGTGCCTTAGCGCTTGCCTTTATAATACAATTTATCTTGTACATTCATAAATTCAGCTTCATAAAGAATAAAAAAACAATTGTTTTCATTTTTATTCTAGGAAACATTCATTTAAAAACCTTCACTAATTACATAATCAACAAGGTTAAACCTATCTAATTAAAAACTCCCCTCTTTTCGCAACTTTCTATTATCATTTACTTTTCAAAATTACCTTTAATTCGCCTTAAACAGTGTAAAGCACTCTTTTAAAATCAAAAACGTTAAGAAATTAATTTTAATTCGCGTTATTTCTCAATAAATAATTAGTTAAAGTTAAAGAATTTCAAAACGTAAAAGTATCCTTGAAGGAAAACATCAGTAAGAAGAAAACGTTACCTAAGTGAACACGATATGTTGAAGTGTGTGTTAATTTTGTTAGTTTTTACATTGATTAATGGATATCCCATTGAAAAGCGACAAGAAAAAAGTGAAGATGATAAAGGAGCCTCCCCGCAACAATTAGAAGAATCATTCGGTGGCGAAACTCACGCGAAAGATGTTAAACAAGAAGAACCAAGTACGCCTAGAACAGGATTTTATTTCTTGGTTGATTGGAATTCGTTTCTTGAGTTAGATAATCAAGAAGGGAGAAGAGTTAGTTTACAATTTAGACCGAAAGCGGGAAACCCGAGGAATTTTCTTAATGTTTCTGTACCTTAAATTAAATTAAATAAATTAAATTTGGATTAGAAATTGAAAGTTTTCATTTCGAATCAATTAGGTTAATAATTGCAACCAACAAAATTGTGGTTATTTAAATTTAAAAGTGAAAGCCTGGTGTTTTTGACCTTTCCATGTCAAAGTTTTCTATGTTGTCTAAGCAAGTAAGAAAGTTATTCATTTAAAATAAATTTTTACGTAATTTTTAATACAAAAAACTTTTTTGGGACATCAAAAATTTCTCAAGAAAATACTTTAAGAATAAATTAAAAAAAAATTGACCTAGATTTCAAAAGATTCTTTTAAAATTACTGGTGACTTAAAATTGTCTTCTTCACGTTGAAGAAGGGGATTTCAACGTCTTCGGTGGGGACGAGACGTACAAGAAAGTAATGAAGCGCGCTGAGCATTTTAGTTTCGTCTTGAAGTGCTTTCGAAAGAAAACGTCTCTTACTTTCACGTTGAGCGCGAGATATGCGTAATTTAAAAAAGTGATTAATAAAAAACAAAAATTTTTTAAGGTTTATTTAAAGGTTTGTATAAATTTTTAAAAATCCTTCGTGAACTTTCTCCATCTTGGTATTTTTGGGATAAATTTCAACATTAACTTTCATTTTCTTTTCTAATAAAACTTTCTTTTAATTCCCGCGGGAAAATATATCAAAATTTAATTAGTTAAAATAATAGAATTAAATATTTGGGGTCACTTGGTCAACTTACTGTATTAGAAGATTCATTTACTATGTAAATATTCACGTATTAGTTCGCGCCAAATATTGCTCTAACGGTTCAAACAAAACCAAAGACGGATCAAAAGTAGTTCCTTTTCAAAAGGAGGCTAAAAGTTGCTAATAACTTAAGTATAGGCTTGGAAATGTCCACTTTAACACGCAAACTGAAATTGTTTAAATAACTGTCTTAGAAGAATTTTAATTCTTATTCTTGTTTCTAGATGATCCATTTAATTTTCATCTTAATATTTGTAACATCACCATCAAATTCACAAAATCATCAAGATTTAGTGCGAGGTTTCGCTTTAAATCCAGCTGAAATCAACAACATTTATTTCAACCCAACTAATTTTAATTACAAAAAAGATTTGCCACCTCAGCCTTTAATACGACCGGAAGCGACGATCGAAGAAACAGTTCACGAAGTTGAAGAGTTAATAAAAAAAGATCCAAAACTACCACGTTTAACCCGCGGAGAAATCGTAGATATCATTGAGAATATAACAAAAATCGGCGATGGGGCTGTGAAGAATTATCGAGATGAAGGAAAAAGAGCTTTAATGGTTGTGATGCCTTTTACAGCGGGAAGTGCTCAAGGTGATGATATAAAAGAGTTGTACACAAGAACTCCGGTTACAAGGATAATTGGAAATGAAGATAATAAAAATAACGATGCGGAGAAAGTACGGGGGAAGAAAAAAAAACCTCCGAGGAAGTGGGAAAACGAAGTTTTCGAAAACGATGTTCCAAAATTTCAATATTTACCGAGCACGACACAAAAAAGTTCCATCACAAAATCAAAACCGGCGAGTTTCTCTTTTATGACTCAACTAAATAATAACATAAAACCAATCAATTTCGAAAAAGAACGTGTTAAAACTGAAACCACAACAATAAAAAATTCATTTGAGCCCGATGTAAAACATACAAATCATAATTATGAAATGAACTCTGGAATGCGAGTGGTCGCTCCTTCGTTTTTAATGACGATGACCGATGATGGTTATTCAGTTCCTTATGTTGTCCGAAGAAAACCGCAAATTCAACCTGAAGTAACTATAGAAGAAGTTAAAATTACCCCCGATATGTATGGGGATACACCAATACCAAAACCGAAAGAAAATTTTAAAATAACAACACCAAAAATGTTTATGGATCAAAATAAATTTTATATGCCAAAACTATCAGTAACAACACCAACAACTTCAACAAGAACGACAATGACAACAACAACTGAAATGAATTTAATAAAAGAAATTAATAAAATCGAAGAAAATGAATTAATAAGTATTAAAGAAAATAAAAAAAGTGAAAATAAAAAAGAAGCTTCAGTTATTTTAGATGAAATTTCAATTCCAAACCATTACAAAGGTGTAATTAAAGATTTAGATTTATTAATAACCCCCGAAAACGACAAAATTCCTTTCACCCAACAAATATTAAAACCTCTCCATCAAGACGATTCATTAAAAACACCTTCAACATCCCCAATTCCCGATATATCAAACGTCGCGAATAACTTATCACCGGAAATGAAAGATCTCCTAATGAGTTTTGGTTTAATAAATAAACCATCGTCCAAAAAACCCGAATCATCAACAACAACCGAAGAAATTCCTTACATTCAAAATGTTCAAATCAACCCACAATCTTACGTTAGATTTAAACCGCTCCCAAAAAGTTCTGGTCGAGATGATATGGAGGAATTATTATCGAGATTTGGATTGGGACGAAATCGAAATGAAAAAGCTATTGATTTTGATAAAGAAAAGAAAACCATGAAGAAAACATCGGAAATTTCCGATTTAGATGTAATCCCCGATAACTTTAAAAACGTCGTTAAAAATTTAGGGTTCAATGAAAATACGATAAAAAATATTAATCAAGGCGAAAAACACATTTTTAAACCAACGAAATTAAATAATACCGAAGAAGAATTGAAAAAGCTCGGAAAATTATTGAATATGATTAAAGATTTAGAAGAAATGAAAGGAAATATTACCGAAGATAGTCTTAAAGATTTCGATTCGGAAACTTTAAAGGAATTGATCGGGGATATTAATGGAAATTTAGATACTCGAGAAAATTTTTTAGATCCCAATTCAATTCAACTTAATTACGATGATCAATTAAAAAAAGATTTTAAACGTCAAAATGAAAAATCCAACATCGTTACTGTTACTCCAAGTACACTTTTTAATAATCCAACAACCACAAATTCATCGATTGAGGAAAATTTAACAGAAAGTTTAACAACAGAAAATTTAACATCGCAAAATACAGAATCTACAACAGAAAATGTTTTTGTAGTTTCTAGCATTCCCGATGAACCAAAACAAAGTGGTTTGGAAGATTTAGAATCATCGTTTGGAAATGTGGAACCACAATCTTCAACGGAAGAAATCACGACTACTACAACACCAAGAACTGGGTTTTATTACTTATTAGATTGGAATACTTTCTTAGAATTGGATAATCAAAATGGGAAAAGGGTAAATTTACGCTTTCAACCTCACGCGGGAAATCCAAATTATTTTATAAACGTCCAAGTGCCTTAGTTAATTTATAAAAAGACTGGTTAATGTTAAGTTTTTAATTTATTATGAATTGTTTTTGTTTTTAAACTTTCCAATAAGAGAAATTTTATTGTTAGGTATCACCTTGGTTATTTACTGTGACTGAAACGAATAAAGAAAAATGAAAACCAACATTCAAATTTCCCTCTTTGCTTTAAACCAAGAAAATCAACTTTTTTTTGTAGTCCTCAATAAATCTTCAACACCTTTCATTTTCGTTTCCGTAAAAATGGACGTTCGCGTTTTAAATCTCGTAATTTTCGTAATCTCGCCGATTTTTATAGTGAAAATCGATTCGTTTGAAAATAAAGTGAAGTTCGTCTACAAAGCGGACGATTTAAGTTTCAAAGAAGGTAATTATCGCTTTAAATTTACCGTTCGTGACCTTTGACGATGACTTTTATAGAACTCGTTATCACGAATGTAACGTGCGATGAGGAATTGGAATTGGATCACGATATCTTTAAATGGAAAAGCATGACCTTAAATGATAGAAATTACGCCGTTGGAATTTCCGAAACCGGAATTTGTTTATTAAATGATCTTCGTGAGGAGGTTTTTAGTGTTTGCAAAAACATAACAGGTAAGAAAACATATTTTAAATAAATTGAAGTTTATATGAAATAGAGATTAAATGTTGAGCCGAATTTTATTGCAAATGTATAATTGAAGGATAAGAAAAGGTGTTTGATAATAGTATTTTGTTAGCTTTGCGTATTAAGAAGTAATTACAACGCAATATTTTCATTTTAACATAAAAAACCAATAAAAAATCAGTTCAGCTTCATAAAAATTAGAACAAAATGTTAATTTGTAGCAATGAATTGGAAGATGTAACATTTTAATTGGGGTAACATACTGAGGAGTAGCTGCATCTTCTTGAAAATGTAATTCGTTTTCATCAAGTAAGCTCCAGTGATTTTCAATGAATTTTGTCCAATTTTCTGAATAAAACCAAAACTACACTTTATAGTATTAAGTTTTATTAAAGGGTTTTGCATTGCTGTAATTATGAATGAAATAAAGCAATTCGCAAAAGTTTTGATGCACAACCAGTATACACGTTTTGAGACAAGACTGTCGTTTCCTCTACGTCCATAAACAAATCGAACAGAACTATTACACTCACCATTACAGTCCATTGTTTTAGATTTAATAAGAAAATTAATCTTGCCAAAATCATGTCTCCTTGAATATTTTACAACATAGAATAGACTCTATTAGTGGTGGAACGGGTATCCGGCAACTATCCGGTATCCGGCCTAACTTTATTTATATCAGTTTTGTCATTAGCAACCTCATTGTAACAATCTCAATACGATATATACAATCTTTTGTTGCAGTTTCGTCTAGTTTTCTTTTCTTCGCTTGTAATTCATCATCACATTTATTACTAACAGAACTGTCGCTGTTATCACTTTCGATTATTAATTAAAATATCCTCTTTCTAATGCAACAAGCCGTTCTGAAAAATCACTTTCAGTTCTTGAGAAATAAATTTTTGAAATCATCGACAATTTTTTCAATTTTCGCCGATTAAGTTTCAAAAATTCGTATAAAATCCAGTTCTTGGAATATGAGTATGAAAATCTCCTAAAGTGTTAATAAAAGTGTCTTCTTTCCAATGATCCAACCCGATTTGAAAAATAACTTTCAGTTTTTGAGAAAACAATATTTGAAGTTTTAATAAATTTTTCGATGCTGCAATTTTCATCGATAACATTCAAAATTCGTTATAAAATTAATTTCTTGAAGGATCCTTGAGGAAATATCACCAATTATTAATTAAAGTATCCTCTTTTAAATGCAACAAGCCATTTTGAAAGATCGCTTTTAGTTTTTAAGAAATATTTTTTGAAATTATCGACAATTTCTTCGAATTTTGCAATTTTCGCCGATTATGTTTTAAAAATTCGTATAAAATCCAGTTCTTGGGATATGGGTGTAAAAATCTCCTAAAGTGCTAATAAAAGTGTCTTCTTTCCAATGAACCAATCCGTTTTGAAAAATAAGTTTTAGTTTTTGAGAAAACAATATTTGAAGTTTTAATAAAATTTTCGATGCTGCAATTTTCATCGATAACATTCAAAATTCGTTATAAAATTAATTTCTTGAAGGATCCTTGTGGAAATATCACCAATTATTAATTAAAGTATTCTCTTTTTAATGCAAAAAGCCGTTTTGAAAAATCGGTTTTAGTTTTTAAGAAATAATTTTTTGAAATTATCGACAATTTTTTCGAATTTTGCAATTTTCGCCGATTATGTTTTAAAAATTCGTATAAAATCCAGTTATTGGGATATGGGTGTAAAAATCTCCTAAAGTGCTAATAAAAGTGTCTTCTTTCCAATGAACCAATCCGTTTTGAAAAATAAGTTTTAGTTTTTGACAAAACAATATTTGAAGTTTTGATAAAATTTTCGATGTTGCAATTTTTATCGATAATTTTCAAAATTCGCTATAAAATTAATTTCTTGAAGGATCCTTGAGGAAATATCACCAATTATTAATTAAAGTATCCTCTTCTTAATGCAACGAACCGTTTTGAAAGATCGCTTTTAGTTTTTAAGAAATATTTTTTGAAATTATCGACAATTTTTTCGAATTTTGCAATTTTCGCCGATTAAGCTTTAAAAATTCGTATAAAATCCAGTTCTTGGAATATGAGTATGAAAATCTCCTAAAGTGTTAATAAAAGTGTCTTCTTTCCAATGATCTAACCCGTTTTGAAAAATAACTTTCAGTTTTTGAGAAAACAATATTTGAAGTTTTAATAAAATTTTCGATGTTGCAATTTTCATCGATAATTTTCAAAATTCGCTATAAAATTAATTTCGTGAAGAATCCTTGTGGAAATATCACCAATTATTAATCAAAGTATCCTCTTTTTAATGCAACAAGCCGTTTTGAAAAATCGCTTTTAGTTTTTAAGAAATAATTTTTTGAAATTATCGGCAATTTTTTCAAAATCTGCAATTTTCGCCGATTAACTTTTAAAAATTCGTATAAAATCCAGTTTTTGGAATATGGGTGTAAAAATCTCCCAAAGTGTTAATAAAAGTGTCTTGTTTCCAATGAACCAACCCGTTTTGCAAAATAGCTTTTAGTTTTTGAGAAAACAGAGAGAGAGAGAAATAATCTTTATCGGCTATTGATCAGGAGATTTGAAAGCCCTAATCTTTCCACCTTACAGTATTATGTAATACATTTTGTTTTACTTAAATAATTTTATATTTTTTCTTCTGTGTTGTGTGTCAGAGTTTTGTATAGGGTCCAGTTATTCCTGTCATTTTCTACCACCCTTCGTCTCTGGAACATTTTGTCAAGCAATCGTCTATTATGTGGTTTTTTGATGAATATTTTACTGATTTCTGCATGTCTTAGGCTAATTGGTTGTATTTTTGTTCTTACGTATATAATTCTTCTCTCCCTTCGTTATAATTCTCAGGCATTTTCTTTCTGCTTTTAATATTCTTTCTTTTGTTTTCTTTGATGCATTGGCTGTTAGAATTTGACCGTAGTCTAAAACCGGACTGCATATAGCGTTATAGATCTTCATAGCAGTTACAAATTTTGTTGAATACTAAATTTTGTTGAAATGCCATCAACGTTCTTGTATGTCAGAGCTCTGAAATATTTTGCTCGTGTGGCAGCTTCAACTCCTTTGGATTTGAAGTGTTTGAATACTTTTATGTTGTTGTCCAAATCTATACCAAGATATTTAATAACGTTGGAAGGTTTCACCGTGGTTGTGCCAGTATTAATTTTAGGAGATCTTTCGCGGATGCGGTGGTTGGGAATCATAAGTTGGAAGTTGGAGGGATTGGGTGTAAGTTTCCTAATCTTTACATTTGAAGGTTTTCGGTTGCTTTGTCTAGTGTGGTGTTGTGTGAGACCAATGTTGTGTCATCTGCATACTGTAGGATCTACAGTTTTGGTCAAAGCTGGTCGGGTTTTCTGCATAGACATCGTAGCAAAATATATTGTATAAAGTTGGAGACAGAGGAGATCCCTGTGGGACACCTTGCGCTGGCAAAAAAGGGAAAGAGAATTTCTCTCCTACCTTTACTTGAAGTTGTCTATTTTTTAGGTACTCGTCTATGATGAGAAAACAAGAAGTGAAGTTTTATATCTATAAAATTTATTTCTTGAAGGATATCCAGCCGAAGGGAATGCCGAATATCCAGTATCCGGCTTTTCGCAAAATCACTATCCGTTCCATGACTAGACTCTATATATTTCTCTAAAATACTCTCTGTATTAGCTAAACAACCTGGTTGATCATTTCTTGTCGCCATTTCTTTTGCCAAACTTTTTATGTCTTTTCAGCTGTCTTTTGCACACTATTTGAATCATGCTTTTCTTTCTTCTCTGATTGAGGATCAAGTTAAACTGCAATGGCGCATGTAATACTGCTAATTACATTCTTAAATTAATAGCGTTTTTAAGCATCCGTGCCAAAAATTGCGAAAATCACTAAATATTGAAGCAGTCCTGATATATTATCGGAAAAAGACGCTCTCAGATTTCTTTTACAAAGCTTCCCCTCGTCAAAGTAATCTTACAAAATTAATAGCTACAAGACCTGATTAATCCTGAAAATATTGGAATTCCATGGAGCAGAAACGTTTGTCAAAATCGTTACGCTTTAGAGAACTCTCGATAAACCATTGGAAAAGAAATAGATTAGAGACTTTTCTGTTCGTTTTATTCCAGAAAACTTCATCACGTTGAAGTACACTTCCAAAGTTGAGGTTTCTGTCAAGTTTCTATACGCAAAAACGAAAATATTAGATTATTGGATCTAATATGATCTGCTTGGAAATTTTTGCAAAATTAGTTTATTACAAACTTTGTTTGGAAGTCATTGCTTGTTAGCGAAACTTTTATTCCTTCCCCAAGTTGAACCCATTCAATTACTTCTTGTACCATTAGATTATAAAAAAATATTTAAATTTCTATTTAAGAATCACCCATAAAAATCTTAGACGCCGAACTACACAAAATTTGGAACCCAAAATTGTTAAAATTCAATCTAGCTCTATTAATTCTAATAGAAGGTGGTTCTTTAAATTGGTTTGGAATAAACGATGAATTAGAAATGGTAAGCTATTTTTATAGCACATCTTAAAAG